GGTTAAAGATCGTAAACGCTCAAAAACCGCTTAAAATGTCCCGAAAATGTCTATTATTTCGGATCTAAAACTTCTACCATGTTTTTTAATGACTTCGATGCATTGCTCGCCTCCGTGAGCTCAAATTGATGCAAAATTTAAGACATTTTGAGAAAATTTTCATTTTTTCAAAAAATCGACCCTCACCGAACAAATTTCGGCCAAAAATCAAAATTTTACATGCGTGTTTTTTGAGCTCAATCGATTCCTTTCGACGTAAGAAGGTCACAATTATGCATTTATAAAGTGTTTGGGTCAATAATAAGGAAGAAATCGTCGGTTAAAGATCGTAAACGCTGAAAAACCGCTTAAAATGTCCCGAAAATGTCTATTATTTCGGATCTAAAACTTCTACCATGTTTTTTAATGAGTTCGATGCATTGCTCGCCTCCGTGAGCTGAAAATGATGTAAAATTTAAGACGTTCTGAGAAAATTTTCATTTTTTCAAAAAACCGACATTCATCCTTGGAAAAATTTCGACCAATTATCAAAATTTCACATGCGTATTTTTTCAGCTCAATCGATTCCTTTCGACGTAAGAAGGTCAGAAATATGCATTTATAAAGTGTTTGGGTCAATAATAAGGAAGAAATGGTCGGCTAGAGATCGTGAATGCTCAAAAAACGCTTAAAATGTGCCGAAAATATCTATTATTTCGGATCGCTGGAGGCCCGGGGCTGTCGCCCCCTAAATCCAGCGCTGATGGGATGGTTCTAAGGCTTGCTAATGTTAATTATCATTCACTCGCATGCCATATGCAAATTCTTCAAATATCGATTGTTTTTGCTTCGTGTTAACCGTGTTATTAATGCTGTGCCAAACTAGTTTCTAGTTGTCTTTAAAGCTCTCCAACTGGATTTTTCGTAGCTACTTTAGTCGCTGTTTCTGTTTGCAACTTGTCCATCTTCACATGTTCTCATCTGCAAGTATAATTTGAAGTGACACGCTAATTGAAATAGCACAATTGTCCTAACTGTTAAAGTTTGTGGGTGACGAATAATTTTTCGTCTTCTTCACACAGTTATGTTTATTGTTATTGGCTATTTCAATGAGGTAAACAGTACAGGCAGGCTTGCAGGCCGTCATGGAAAATAATGTCTTCCTGATGTTTCGCAAGCGCAAGTGGCTTTTATCCACCGTTTTTGGCAAAAATATATGAAATGTTTTTTTTTCAGGTACGATGCCCGAAGAAGGTGTCCGTGACATGACAAGTCTCACGGTGCTAGACGAGGCCATCATCAACAAGAATCTCAAAGTCCGTTACAAAAAAGACAACATTTATGTATCCTTTTTATTCATCATATTGATCAGAGGCGATGAGGAAGTGATTGTTGCGATTCAAATAACAGCAAATATTTCTTGGCTCCCGAGAAAATATTTTTCCAGTCTAAAAATGCAAATGTTGACATTATCAGATATAAATCTACAAAACCCTATCCAGTTTGTTAATATTACATCAGTTTAAGTGTTAAAAGCCGCTCGCCCTTTCCGTGTACTTTGCTAATATGCGAAACGGCAAAAAAGTGCGGATCAGGTAACATTTCTGTTCATAAAAATGTCGGCGACATTTAACAGGACATTTATGGGGAAATAAAACACGAGCCAGGAATTTAGAGCAAGCTCAAGTTGAATATATCAAAAAAGTGAAAGTGGCACGCCAATCATGGCTATTTCGGTGCGAATGTTCCAACAATGAACAGCAAATTTAGATGGCATTCCCTCATCAGCTTGAACGCATTTTTCCGAAACCGACAAGCTTTATATAGATCAAGTTGTGACCTGAAGGCCGCCGAACCTGAAAATGACTTCCTCTCAAGCCTCTTGATTTAAATACGGCAAACAATGAAAGAATCATGAATCCACCATGACTCATGTCTTGCAGGTTCCGGTTTTCGTTTACGATGAATCTCAAGAATTCATTTTCCAAATCACCGATCACGAATCAATCAAACCGATCCGTAGTTTGGACTGAGAGTGTAATTTTCAGTCTCGAAACTAGTCTTGGGGTGCCTGAGATTGGCACATTTTGAGGTCTGTGCCGAAAGTATCATTGCTCATCTTAGCGATTATTCACCACGGGATTTCTGCCTGATCAAGAGATTTACGTGTCGTAGCAAACGTGAAATTACTGTTGACTTTTATGACAAAACCACTATCGTTTTCTCAGAAAACCGATTTTATTCATCAGGGTTAAGGCGTACTTAGTCGGTCTGGTGTGTCGAGTTAATTCCTTTTGCAACCTTCGAAAATGCAAAAAAATCAAATACATTTTCTAAGCATTAAATAGCCATTATTATTAATTTGTTATTAATAGCGCACTTGCGAAGACTTTAATTTGCGTTAAGCCCTTCTGTTCATTGATACATTTTGTTATTGAATTGGTAATTCGATAAAACTGAAACCATTAAGCTTAGGAGGAGCGCGTCTAATTTGCAAAAGTGAATTAACTGTCCATTTTAATATCCTAGCTAACGCTATGCGCAATTAAAAGGTTCATAAAGCGCTGATTTTCAGTTAACGAGGCTGAAATTTAATTGCTCAATCAGGAATAGGGTGTTTTCATTGTATCAAAGATTCCTACAAACTGAACATTAATTTATGCTAATATACATTTATGAAAGATTAAATAAGTTTATATTATCCATCTATTGCTATTTTGTTAAATATTTAATAAACAAATTCAGCTCAAATTCGAATTATTAATGAATCTCTAAAACGCAATCCTATTGGTTGTGACGTCTTTGGTCATGTAAATGGCGGATTGTCTACGTTCTGTGCATAGTGTTTAGTTGTGTGGTTGTGTTTCATTAATTATTTTGTGGATTTAAATAATTTGTAGTTTGGGTTAAACTAAAAAATGGCTTCAGAAGGATTCCTTAAAGCGCCAACAAACAATTTACCATGTGTAGATACGACTAACGCTTTAATTCAGCCGTATTTAAGGGTGTCAAAGCAGCAGCGTCAGTAAAAATCCATAAATTCATTATTAGTTACTCTCTTCTTAATTTACTAATCTGTCTGCATCGGTTTAAATTAGGTAAATAATATATAGAATTTCACTTATTCAAATTAACCTAACCTATACACATGGCTGCTTTAAAAGTAAAATAAACTCTTAAATTTTTATTTTGGGCATCACGAGAACAATATGGTGATATCGGATATGTGGAATAGAAACGCGAGGGTTCTTTGTGCACTGGACAAGGTAGAATTTGCCCAGAACACAAAGTACGATCGACGCATATTCTGTCTGCCTCATCATTAGCTTTTTGTTCGTACTTTCATTAAAATGATCCTCGCAACAAAAAAACGCTGATTTTGATTTAGGAACATTACGTCTAGCTGCTTTGAACCGTAAAACTTTACGTGCATAATCATGGGGAACGGTTAGAAAGAGTTTGTTTGGAGCTCTGATTGAGGTATTCTTGAATCCTGGCACAAAACACCACTTACTTTGTGATCCATACAATATTTTCCATTATGCAAGATAATAATAATAATCAATAAAATATTGATAATCACAATAACTTAAATGATAAAACACAGCTGCAAAAACAACAAAATAAACGCGACACTTTGTTGATATGACCTGCTACGTCATAATCGGGATAGGCAACCGACGATACGGATTCGGCGTTTTTGACGTTTTTGTTTAAAATTATTATGGAGACTTTTTTTGCAAAAAAAATATATCAGTGTAATGTTTGCCATAACTCCTTTCTATATATCAACATCAAAAAAAGTCAAACACCCTATTGCCGAACGACTTCGCAATATTAAGGAGAATTTTTTTCTCCTCTACGTACCTACATTCACTTTCTTCGCCTACAAAGTCAGCAGTGAAACACGTAAATGTCGACAAATTGCAAGTAATGTTCACTATCACTTTTTTCGTTTCCTTCCTTGTTTTCATTCGTTCCAATACTCGCGCTTTAGTAGTGGATCAATCCGTATCATTCCACTCCACTACGTTGATCGCCTGACTTTGCAACATTCGTTCTTACTTTAAAACGCTTTTTTAAGACTTAAGCGCCTTTTTTGTGCGTTTTAGGAAAAAATGCAAATATGTGTTAGCAACTGATTTTTTCACATCCATTGAAGCTACAGCGTGAATGAAACCTCCAAGTTCAATCCCCCAAAATCGTTCTCTAATGGATTGTTTGCTGACTTAATTATAGAGCTTTCAGGTCGCCGCTCAACTTAATTGCTCTACCAATTCCTAAACGCACAAGGGTTCCTTTAGTGTTGCTTAATGAATAACCTGCAGAGTGAATGTGTTTTGAAGATTCAATTACGAAAGGCTTTGCCATATGAATTTGTATTCTAGATTTTTTTGTTTTGATCCATTTTTAACTCAAAATGCGATTTCACAAAGCGCAAAAACAACTTATCCACATCAAAGGCACAACTGGTAGGCCGGAAATGTCGTCCCCAAAAGATAAATTCATTGTTTAAGTGGAACAGCTGTGCGTTTTATCCAGAAATATTTTATTGTGTACCTTTTAGCCTAATTAGAAGTAATTCGTTTTTTATATTTTTTAATTCGCTGTGCGGTTAAAAAATCGACCCGGTGCATGCATGTACTTAACGCAAAGGGATTGTTGGAGTTTACTCAACAATAAATGATTTAAAAGGAATTAGGGCGAAAGCCAACTGTTCCCTGTTAGGTGAATAAGCTTAGGGACTTAAACGAGAAAATTTACATTTTGGGTGGTTTTTGCCTAACGCCTACAATAAGTAACAAAGAAACTGTAACAATACGGCTTTTGCTCATCCGAACTTGCTGAAATTCCCCGCTGATAATGTGTTGCATCAACGGTATTTCGCGATAAACAATCTTTCAAGTATAATACTGTTTTGTTTTATACACTAACGAGCTAAAACGGCATGTCATCCTTCCTTCTGACCTCTTTGTATATACTTTCCTGACTGTGTTTCAATTCCAAATCAAATTCATTCCTGGGTTTTAGTCATTTATTGTCTCTATTTATCAATCAAAAACGTTTCGGTGTATTTTTCCACCATCATCAGTTTTGAGGTGTAGCGTTGTTGCTGCTTTAAGCCTTGGCATGCATTTTCTTGCTCGGAAAATCTAGTGCTATCTACTTGCGCATTTTTCATTAATTTGGTCCAGAATCAGGCGCGTTTTGAATAAAACTATCAAATCAACCTTGGGAGTTTTGACCTAATTTAAAGGTGCCACTAAAATAATTATCGAATTCCAGTATCTATCGGTTTTGTTGTCTTGATTAGGGTAATCCTCAGTCAGCAAACAAGGCTCTAAGGTTTATTTATTAAATGCCGAATGGGTTTCGGTTTCCATCTGGGCGAAAGTCCCACTTAAACAACTGCAAATAAGCCATAAAGTAATGCATAATCCAGACTTTGCTGTAGGTTGAAGGTCCCGTGCGTCTTTCGATGTTCCAAAGGCTTTCTACAAGTGCACACAGTCGAAAATGAGCAACAATAATACACAAGATTAATTTTAGACTTTTGATTCGTTCACACCAAACATGTTCGTAGATTTCTTTCCCAACAGTAAATTCTTTCAGTTTGCTGCCATCCATATGTGAAAACGCCTCTATTGTGTATTTAATCTGGCCGACTGTTTTGTAAGCGAGTGGAAATTAGATCGTTTTCTACACGTACAGATGTTTGCAAGTTTTTAGGGTTTCCCATGCTTAATGCACTGATTCAAGAGCTTTTCTATTAAGGCTTCTAAGATGGTTTACAAGCAGACTTACGCTCTAAAACCTGGTTAATAGGTTAGTCGAATACCGACTGCATCATTTTTGCACTAACAAAAAAAATGTATGCAGTCGTACATAAATCAACGCATTACTAGGCAGTTTTCTTTTACCACCCCAGCACTCAAATGAGTCCAGGCACGACTCAGTTGCAGTTTTTCCCCTAAAGTAAAGCTGATTGAATGCGATTTAGGGTGGAGCCAGTGAGACGGAAATGAATCAAATAACTGTCAGGGTTTAATGAATTAATGTCGATAAATATTGTTGCAAGATGGTTGATTTTCTTGGGAATTCGGTCTGGGCAGTGGTGAAGAAAAAGAAAAACTTTTTTAGCTACCAAGCTTTCGGCAATTTATTGTCGCCTTCCGCAGGGCGACAATAAATGCCGAAAGCTTGGTAGCTAAAAAAGTTTTTCTTTTTCTTCACCACTGCCCAGACCGAATTCCCAAGAAAATCAACCATCTTGCAATAAGTCGATATCAGTTAAGATTGCAAGACAAATCTAAAGCAGTGACTAATGAGGAATACAGTGCTGAAGACAGAATAATCAGAAATTGTTCTGGGCGAAAGAAGTTGTTTAAGGCGCCTGGCACCAATTGTTTGCAAATCCTTTGATTTGCGAAAAAGTGCACGTTGCAATATTGAACTGCCTGCATGCGCAGGATTTTTATATCACAGGAAATGCATTAATGCTGGGCCATTTTTTGTTCATTTCAAAGCAGTTTCCTTAATGAAACCTTCCAGACATACACAGGATCGATTCTTGTAGCTGTGAACCCTTACAAGGACATTGACATCTATTCTCAGGTAAGTTAACCAGTTTTTTCCATTAAAAATGCCCCTGTAGGCAATTCTTTTGCGCGATGCATTTGCTCATTATGCGCTTTTGTTCATAAAGGCTTTCGAAGGCTTTGGGGGATACGAATGTTGAACGAAAATTCAATTCGAATAAACTGTGCATCTATCCATTAGGCAGAGTTTTAGGTAACTTTAAGCGCGCATTACGAAGTTGCGAATTTGTTCGAGGAGGCTTCTTCATATGCATGGTGAAAGTTCGGTCGCATTTGGAATCATGTAATGCTTTGAGYGGARAATTTTGAAGGTTGAAAATAATAAAGGGCCGAAAACTGCGTTTATTAACGTATAAAATWCTACCACAAACATTCGGAAATCATCAGCAAATAAGTAACTAGACGAAAGTGAATCAGTTACTCCATAAAACGACTTCATGGTTATGGTTAATTAAGGGCGTTTTGTGGAGCATTTGCCTGTTTTTAAGCAAGAAAATATGCATTTCCAGTTTGAAATTTGCCTCGTTTAAATCGTCTTATTTCGCTGTTTAATGTTGATTGTATGCTCTTGTTATCGCAAACACTGATAATGTGATTTAAGTTTAAACTAGCTGGATATTAACAATGTAGTCGCAATAAAAGGGAGCAAAAAATGTACATTTTGTGCTTGCAGCAACATTTATTGGCGGCGAAATTGACGCTTTATGTTGGGCAAATCGGCCCTTTTTTATCGATAATTGTAGAGGTTTCTTCAGCGGAAAAAACGGCTCAATCAAATCCGAACAGTGAAAATCATTTTAAAGAATATCCGGGCTGGAGTAAATGGGCAAAACACGTGGGTGCCAGGTAATAGAGCGATCGATGGAGCGAGCCTTAGAACTGTGATATTACACCCAAATATTCGCAGGCTTTAAGCCCCAAAATACGTCCATAAAATCGTTTTTATTGCGGTTTGTCCTTTCACGATGCTTAAATAGTAAGCGGTTTTATTCGAGCACATAAAACCGCAGTAATTTGATTGCAGTTTACTGGTTCTGGTCGTTGATAAATGAAAATTCTCCCAAAACTAGTGATATTAAATASGGGAAAAGTCCAAATCCTCAGGATCATSGAAAATATCAATTGSATTCGTAAAATACCGGCAAAGTTCACTATAGAGTGYTCGGTCTTAAGGGCTCAMAGCYTACAAGCAAGCCGTAAAACCAGCTGCTTTTYATGGGGCTGGCTCAAATGGCTTAGATTGCATAGATTGCTTGATACTTAGTTAATCTATGGATTGCAGCCACAAGATTTAAATTTGTCGAAACTCCGATCAATTTTGTGTTGAGTWTCGAAATGAATTCGATTATAAAAGTGCTGCAACTGTAAACTTTTAAATTTATTAAAGAGCTGCAGTGTTATAAGTCGCATTGTTCCCATGGCCAATCGGAAACGCAAATGATTCGTGTGCCATGTTATTCATTTAAACAACAATGTGCGTAATGCGACGATTAATATGATAGAGAGAAGACTTGAGTACTTCCGTTTGTTAAAGGCCGGATTTTACACTTGCTTAACAGTCGGATATTTCGGCACTACTTTAACGTTGATCGATGTTTAATG